GTCACTGGTGGAGTGTTTTGCTCTTGTTTTCCATCGCACAGGTGATTCTGTCTCACTGCAGAAAACACAGAAGAGAAGAGAAGCCCCCACCAACCAGACGATAGCATGGTGGGCTATTTTCGGGGGTGGCCGTACCAGTTTCTGTATAGGCACACACACGAGCCTTGAGCAAGAGTGGGGTGTTTTCTGTTCTTGCCACCTGGTACCCTGTGTCTTCTCCCTGAGCACACTGGCCCGGCGCCGCCTGTTCCCGGTGGGTAAGCAAACACCCACGGTTCTCAGACGTTCCTCCGTGGGTGTGCAAACCATTCACAGGCTGCGTGCGCCTAAAACTTAGGACGGCCCCTAAAACTTAGCAAAACCGACACCGAGACAGCCCGTAGAAGGGGCAGGGTCTGCAGGGTCCAGAGGGCCCCCCTCTCCTGGCCTGGCGCTGCCCCCCGGAGGTGTGTCTCTCTGGAGACACTATCCATGATCTCATGTTCTCTTTCCAGACGGGAACGTTAAAAGCCGGTGACCCCCGCTAGGAAAACCAACGAAGAAATACACCGTGGAGCCGGCAGTGACCTTGTTTGTTTTTTGTCTGTTTCTGGCCCCCCCCCCCATAAAGCGCCATCCAGTGCAACCTCTAAATCATACAGGCAGCTGGGTCCCTCCTTTGCCACTCACTGATTCTTCTGTGACCTTGGGCACGACACTGACCCCTGCTGAGCTTGGTGGCCACCGTCAGCCTCAAGATGATGGTGGAATGTTCCACCTGTCATGGAGTCCTACCAGCAGCCTGCAGGACATCGGGACACAGCTCCCACACCTGCGTGGGATGCTGTGCATGAATGCTGTGCACCCCCTACCCCACCCCAGGCCCTAAGCGTGTGAAACAAGACTAAACATTCAGAGAGAAAACGGGGCCTCAGGGCCACCCCAGCGCACACCTGAGCTTTCCGACGGTCACGGACCATTTCCGGGCAGAGACCTTGTCGATTTTGCACTTGGTTTTAATAGACCCACAGGACTGAGGCCTTGCTTGATTTCTCACCTCCATAATAATGACACCTGCAAAAGACATCAGAACGCTCGCTGGCGTTCCTGGCCAGGAAGTGACTCAGCCAGGCTGACTGCCCAGCTGGCAGGGCCTGGGTACCTTGTGGCGGGCACCATGGGAGCGAGACAGGCGTACCACAGGCGTCTTCTTTGTCAGCCTGTGCAGTCTCCTAGGGACCTAGGAACCCAACCACCGCCTGTCCCATGTTCCTCCAAGGACTATGAAGATATGTAGTTCTGCCCTGGCCGGTTTGGCTCAGCGGTTAGAGCATCAGCCTGCGGTCCACAGAGACCCGGGTTCAGTTCCCGCTAAGGGCACGTACCTTGGCTGCAGTTTGTCCCCAGCCCTGGTTGGGTCGTGTGGGTGGCGGCCACTCGATGTGTCCCTTTCACATCGATGTTTCTCTCTCTTCCTCTCTCTCCTTCCTGCTCTGAGTAAAAAATGGAAAAATGTCCTCGGGTGAGGATAAAAAAAAAAAAAAAAAAAGATATGTAGTTCTTCTCCTGGGCGTGTCTCCTGCAGCAGGTGGTACCAGGGCCAATGGTCCAAGTCAAGACGTGATGAGAAAAGGGATGATGTTTGGTGGTGCTGTGGGTCCCTCTCCTCCCTAAACAGGTGTTGTTAGTGCCAATGGCCCCAGAAACAAGGCCCTGTGCACAGGGCAACCCCCCATGTTCTGAGGCCGTCGGCTGTGCTTTGTGATGTTATGAGCCCTTTAGATATAAAAGTCTTTGATAGCCCTGGCCAGTTTGGCTCAGCGGTTAGAGCGTCGGCCTGTGGTCCAGAGAGACCCGGGTTCGGTTCCCGCTATGGGCACGTACCTCGGTTGCAGTTTGTCCCCGGCCCTGGTTGGTCGTGCGGGTGGCAGCCACTCGATGTGTCCCTTCACGTCGATGTTTCTCTCTCTCTCTCCCTTCCTCTCTCTCCCTCCCACTCTATCTGTACAAAAAATGGAAAAATATCCTCGGGTGAGGATAAAAAAAAAAAAAAAAGTCTTTGATAGCATAGGTGGACTAGTCAGACGCCTACTTAACATACGTACCCTGCTCCTGGAGTTATACGTTCGTAACTGAGGTTACGTATTGGACCTGATAAAGTCGCTGCCTGCGCGGGGTCAAATCCGGTGGACTAGAGGCCGTCCTGGAAGGTGCACCCTGGTGTCGTCCTGTGTCCTCATCCCTTGCCTCCTGAGTCACCTGCTCAGTGTGCCAGGTGTGCCAGGCACTGCCCGCTGAGGTCATGAGTGCCACTGGTCTTGATGTGTCTGGGCTGCTCTCTTGGGCTACCCACTGGCAAGCTGTGGCATAACATTGCACCGCCTTGGCATAAGATTTTTCCGTGTTGGCATAACCTTGCACCGTGTCGGCATAAGATCGCGCCACCTTGGCATAACCTTGCACTGCTTTGGCGTGACTTTGCTCTGCGTGCACAGGATTTCGAACTGTGTAGGGCCCACCCTACCCTTGCTCCCCTGTTGGCCTCTCGCCCGGTCTCCGGGTACCCCACTTACCCGACTGCTCCTGTGAGTGGTCTCGAACGTTTCTTGCGCCTTCCTCCCTCATTTGTGATTACGAAGTCCCGCCTCCGGGAAAAGATGGTTCTATTTCTTTGCCTCCTTTTTTTTTTCCCACCCTGGTGATCTTGCTACGAAATAATTCAGGGCACCCCTCACTTCTGCCCCTGAACTGTGAGAGGTTTTGTCCTTACGTCAATGTGACACAACTTACATTTCTCCAAGAGTGATTCTGAGCGAAAGCCTTCGCCCCCTGTCTTCGAGCGCGCCTGTCACCTGGGTATCGGCTGCGGCCAGATGCCGTGCTGGCTTCGTCACACACACTTGTATGTAAACACTCAGCCGCTGCCCTGTGAGAAGGGAGCCCCTCACCGCCTGCACAGGGCCCTGGGAAGACGTGTGGCGAGGTCCGAGGGTCTCTGCCCTGGCGGCACGTGGCGGTCATCTGCTGAGCTTGGGAAGCAATGCTGCTGGTGCCCCTCCACGGGGCTGGTCTGGGCCATCACGCCCCGTAATTCCCTGTGGCAGCTTCCAGCCTGCAACCAGCCCCCCCGGGCGCCACCCCCACCCCAGCAGAGTCACCATGCTGTGGCAACTGTCCCTTGTTCAAGGCCTCCCACTGATGGCCGTCCCCTCACGTGACCTCATCCCTCCACCTCGGCAGGTGTCACACTTCCCTGTGGTCCAGCGCCGACCCCTGAGGTCTGCGGGGGCGCCCAGGACGCATCCGTTCGCACCGGGCGTGGCCGTCACAGGGCAGCCCCGTTCCCCTCCCCCACGCCGAGCTGCCCATGTGGACGCCAGCGTGCACTCCGAACCCCGTTGTGTGGGTGCCGGGGCCACCCCATGGAGAGTGTTCCCAGGGACCTGGCTGTCTGGCTGGAAGAGGCCAGATGGATGGAGAGACAGTTCCAAGGGCTCCAGGGAGAGCAGCACCCGGTGGAGTAGCTGGATGTACTTGGAAAGAGGGCAGAGACGGAGGGAAGAGGGACAGACGGCTAAGTCTGCAGGGCGTACTGTCCACTCGCTGGGGATGTGGGGCGGTCTGCTCAGCTCCGTCGGCCGGGTTTGAGCAAATCCAGGTCAGGAACTGATGGAGAGGCCAGTCACGAGGAATTTGGTGTCGAAATTAAAACCGTTAAGCACAATGTTCGTCCACGAGTCTGATGCAATGCAAGAAAGGTTACACTTTGTCATCGTCTGTAACTCTACTTAATGCTGAGCCCCAGCCCTCCAGCCTTGTGGGAATTTCCACCCCAGTCATCACTGGGCTCCTCTCCACACCCAGGCTGGGCAAAGGCCGTACAAGGCGTGGGGAGACCCCTGTGGCCATCAGTCCAGTACCTCCGCAATACCAACAGGCCACCCTGCCCCATGTCTCAAGAATGGCAAAGGCCAGCTCTGCTTCGAACAGGAGTGAGAAGTAGGAGGTGACACACCATCAGCGTAAATGAATATTTCAGTAATGATCTTGTCTGAGTCCGCCTGAGCTGCTGTAACAAAATACCTTAGACTCGGGGCTTAAACAACAGACATTTATTTCCCACAGCTCTGGAGGCTGAAGTCCAATGTCAGGGTCCTTGGTGAGGGCTCTCTTCCTGGTTTGCAGGTGGCTGCCTTCTCATTGTGTCCTCATATGGTGGAAAGAGGGGAGTTCTGATCTCTCTTTCTTTTGTTTTTTCTTTATTGTTGAGAGTATTACAGATGTCCCCCATTTTCCCCCCATTGCCCCCCATCCCAGTTCCCACCTCACCCCAGACCTTCACCACCCTATAGTCTGTGTCCATTAGTTATGTATATAAGTTCTTTTGTTAATATTTTCCTGCTCCCCTCGCCCCCCCTCCCTCTGAGGTCTGTCAGTCTGTTCCATGTTTCCATTTCCAGTCTGTTTCTGTTTCTATTTTATTCATCAATTTATTTTGTTCATTAGAATCCACATGTAAGAGAGATCATGTGATACTTGTCCTTCTCTGACTGGTTTATTTCACTTAGCATGATACTCTCCAGGTCTCTCCATGCTGCCTTGAAAGGGTGAGAAGCCCTTCTTTTTCACAGCTGTATAGTATTCCACTATTTAAAGATGTTGTGGACTGAATGTTTGTGTCCCCCTCCCCAACATTCACATGCAGCCCTAACCCTCAAAGAGATCTCTTTTCTGATAAGGACACTGATCTCATCATGGGAGCCCCACCCTCATGAACTCATCTGAACCTATCACCCCCAAAGGCCCTACCTCCAAACACCAGCCCACTGAGCGTTAGGGCTTCCTGTAAATGTTGGGACACACATTCAGTCCATACCACCTTGAAACTGTCTTCCTTCGGGCAGCTGGTGCGCAGCCGCGACCTCTCGTGCTGTGGATGACAGACAGGGTGCCGCGTCCGGGGCCAGGGTCCCGCCCCAGCCCAGGTAAGGCCTCAGCTCAGCTGTCCCTGTCTCCCGCAGTGTTCCTCGACCTGCGGGAAGGGCCTGCAGTCGCGCGTGGTGCAGTGCATGCACAAGGTCACCGGGCGTCATGGCAACGAGTGCCCCGCCCTCTCGAAGCCAGCCGCCTACCGACAGTGCCATCAGGAAGTCTGCAACGACAAGATCAACGTGAACACCATCACCTCCCCGCGCCTCGGTGAGTGCCGCCGCCGGCCCCCGTCCGAGGGGCGCGGGGTCCCCTGCCAGGAGTCCCCCTGCAGTGAGGGCCATGAGTCCGCAGGCGCCCTTCTTGGGTCCTCTGGGAGCCCAGGGGAGGCCGACGCTTGCCTGTTCCGTAGCAAATCAGAAGTGTCAGAGGTGGCATTTCATCCCGTTGTGAAAAAGACACTTCGGTCTCAAATGCGGCACCTTGAGCATCCCATTAACCCCTCTGCCAGCAACTGGGGACACAGGAGGCTGTTCTTCACATGTTTTAGGGTTCCTGTGGAGGGGGGGTGGCAAAGGGAGGTGCTTGCTTCTGAAAAGGAAGGGTCTGGGGGTGTCACCTGTGAATCCTTGGGGACATGAGCATGAGAAGTTCCTTAAGCTTGAGAAGGAAGAGAAGTGTTGACGGGTGTGGTCTTGAGTTCAGCGGGGGCAGGGTGTGAGCAGCTTGGCCCTGAGCGCTCTGAACCCTGCCGGTGGCAGGCCACACGCCGGGCCAGCAGTGCCAACAAGGAGAATGATACTTACCCCGGAGCGGGTGACCCCTTCGCGCAGAGTTCCCGCTTGTCCAAATAGAAACCCCCAAGGAGTATGCCCACCCAGAGCCCCCTCCCTCATGCTGAAATGCCCCCAGAATGAAGGGGCTTTCTAAGATGGTTCACTGGGGGGGGGGTCTTTGAGCCTGCTGAGCTGCACCCCAGGCCGCTGCATGCACCAGCCCCCTTGGGGTCCCCCAGAGACCTCCCTCAGGCAGGACCTTCTCTGCAGAACCAAGACCCTGAAGGTGATCCGGGCCACTTGCTGTGCTGTGACCCTGTGCTGTTTGGTGCCCTTCGATCTGCAGTGCCCTGTGCCCTTGTGCTTCATAAATGCCAATAGCGATGACGTCTCCGGCCATAAAATAGCACGAAGTGCCACTTAGCTCAGAATCAGGGTGGGTAGTGCCCTCGCCCCAGGGAGGCAGCCAGGCCACCCAACTCCACCAAGTGGTCAGGTTGGACGCAGGGGTGTGTCCCCTGTAGAAGAAAGCAGCAGCCACAGTGTCCCCGGCAGGGGGCTACTTGCCCAGTCTCTGCCAGGCTCCAGGGGGCGCTGGTGAGGGCAGCCCAGCGTGTGCCAGGCCACCTCTGTGCATGCATCGTGATGTCCCTGTGCCCCCTCTGTAACCCTGGGCTCTCTCTCTCTCCACTGTCCCCCCAGCGGCTCTGACCTACAAATGCACGCGGGACCAGTGGACCGTGTACTGTCGGGTCATCCGAGAGAAGAACCTCTGCCAGGACATGCGGTGGTACCAGCGCTGTTGCCAGACGTGCCGGGACTTCTATGCCAACAAGATGCGCCGGCCGCCACCACTGCCGTCACCAAGCTCATGACGCTCGCTTCCGCGATCCCGCCACGCCCCAACGCGACGTCGGAGTCCCGACGACAGGGCTAGTTGAAAGCCCACCCACCCAAGAGCACAGTCCTGCAGCTGGGACCCCCCAAAGCACAGCGCCGCTCCCCCACAAGGCTGCCCCGAGAACCCAACCCCCGTAGAACTCAGTGCGGACTCGACGTTTGCCCTTAGTGCTTTTATACTTAATATATTGTTCAGAGCCACTGGATGGCTTTTCTGCAGCGAGGACGAAGTAGGCACGACTCCCAGCTCAGCGCAGTCTCTAAGGTCCCGTGTACCTCAAAGGGAGCACCCCGGCCACTGTCGACAGAGACGTCGCAGGCTCCTCCGTCCCGGCCTCCTGCTGACATGAATTCCCAGTGCGTCGTGTACCACGGGGGGAATATCCGAAATGAGACGTGACATTGGAGCGGGCTTTATTCTGAAAGCCAGCGACGCCCTAGTGGAAGGACAGGTGTCGGCGAGTCTGTGCTGGTGGCTTCTCCGGACAGGGCCCTCGCGACAGCACGGGGACTCTACCTTTCTGCCCGTCACTTCTGAGCCCAGGGGCTCTAGAGTCCGAGCCGGGCCTTGGGCCGTCTTCCCTCTGGAGTTTGGATCTGCATAAACCGAGGAGACCAGGGCCAGGTTCTGCGTCAGCCACCTGGGGGAGAATATTCTCGAAGTGCTTGGGTTCGGGGAAGCGTCTCGTTTTCAGATCTCTGCTGTCCAGCAGATAGGGGAGCGGAAGAGCCCTCCCTTCACGCTGCTATGAAACAGGCCACGTGCTCATTTGGGTCATGAGATCGCTCCCTGGCCCCCAGGGAGCTCAGGGCGGCCTTGTTAGGGGTGTGCGGGGCTCCCCTCTGCCTTCTGAGGACCTCTCCTCTAGCCAGAGCTTCGTAAACTTTGCACCGTAAGGATGGCTTCCCGGTGACCTTGGCCATCGATCGGAAGTTGATTATCTATCTCCAGAACCTCCGAAGACTCAAGCTCAGGCCTGGCTGCTTCGCCCATCATGGGGCGGGTCTCCTCCAGGGGTGCTCAGCCTGGGGTGCTAGGGTCAGCGGAGAGCCACGTGGCCGGGGTCGCCGCATGGCCATCAAGCCTTCCTGTAGCTCAGACCACGTCATGCTGTCATTATTGACCCGTCTTCCCAGTGGGGCAAGAACAACACTCAGAAAAGCACGAAGTTCTCTCCCCGCTTCAGCCCCTTCGCCCCTGAGAACAGAGCTGTGCCCTCTCTGGAGGGGAAATGACCAGAGTGGGCTCTTGGGGCACACCGAAGGTGACAGGCTCTGCCTGCTCTGGGAGCCGGGAGGAAGGGACCCTAGCCTGGGAACAGGGACCCTCGATTGCAGGAGGCCTGTTCTGCTGAGCAAGGTGGTGGGTGTTGGGTTGGTGCTAACGTTCGAGGACTCTCCATGAGAAGCCCACCTTCTCCTCCTTGACTCCGGGGGATCGCCCTCAGCCTGCTCTGCGTGGGATCACCTCCCAGCTCTCGTCATTCATTGGTGCTGCGTTTGTGTGTCTGTGTGCTTCGGATGTCACACCTTTCGGGTCAGCTCAAACCGCAGTGACGGAGACAGCCCTCGGCCGTCGCCAGCCTGCCCTGTGGGCTGGGTGTTGGTTTCAGAGTTTTGCCACCCCGGAGACGAAGGGTTAGGGACAGCCAGGACTTGCAGCCTCGCCTGATTCATCGCAGAGTGTGGAGAGACCTCCTCCGGTGCTCTGCGCAGGGACACGACAGGATGCCAGGAAGGAGCGGCCACCCTGTCAGGTCCCCGCCAGCTCCTGCCCCAGGACCTATGCAAACTGCTGCCCTCCCAGGCTCAGGCTGGCCACCAGCAGACACCCCCAAGCCCCGTTTCCACAAAACCCTTAAATACTGGGGAGCTAGGGCTTCATTTTTCCTCAGCCCTGAATGTTCTGTAGTTCAGCACAGATGGCCAGGGTGGGGGCAGCCAGCGAAGGAAGCCAGGCAGCCAAGGTAGTTTCTCTGAATTTGTTGCCAGTCACCTGGACTGTATGAGCTGGATACCCCTGGCAAGGGTCTCGCATCCTCAGGGTGCAAACAATTGATCTGGTTATTACAAAACAGCCCCCTGGCTCCCCAAAGTCCACGCCCCCCTGAGCTCCTGCAGCTCATGCCAAGCTCTGCGGTTCACCAGCGACCCTCAGCTCCCAGCACAAGCCCCGGGCACCTCGGGGCAGCCACCTCTTTGTTCAGAAGACACTGAAATCCCGGGATGGCAACGGTGGCTCCTCTTTGCTGTTAGCAATGCCCTACGCTGTCACTCATGTACTGTACCTTTGCGGTTGCACACACGTGTCGCTGACGACACGGTCTTACGGTCTCATGGTGCTGTTTTCATTGGTGCGAGCGAAGCCGGCTTATCGGCCACGCGTGAAGGCTCTACACGCAGGGAGAGACCCCAGCGGCAACGGTATCACTCCCTTGCTCTCCTCAGAGTCCGTGTATATAGTTTCCACTAGTTAACTTACATTATGGACTGTACCCATGGTATTTTTGTTTGATGTTTTGGTGCTGGTTTTGAAAGATGAAGAAGAAGAAGAGAAAAAACAAAACAAAAAACAGAAGACAAACGTTGGACACCACTGTAAACGAGAAATTAATCATTTCATTGGAAGTGAGCTGAATATGTTTAATAAAATGTTTTTCCATAACAATGTTAAGCTGTCTGTGAAGTAAAAGACAAAAGCCAGTCTCCAGGGGCGGAGGGAGGGAGCTGTGTCCCTTCCTTCGGGGGGCGGGGGGGCGGTCGCGGAGCTGGCCTGGGACTTGGCTGCCTACCCAGCTGTGGTGTCAGAGGTCACTGGGGGGTGCATTTCTGGCAGGGGGGCTGTGTCTCCCCCAGGCCAGTGCTAACAAATCATTCAGTCCTGGACCTCCTCCCTGTTTGGTTGCAAAACCCTAGGCGGGGACGTGACTGGTGGAGTCGCCCCTACTCCGTGGCGGCGCAATGACCCCTGGGCCGGGGGCCCCTCAGACAGAGCTCAGGCCCCCATCTGCCAGAATGGGCACCGTCTTGCCTCTCCAACAGTTAGCCCCACCCACCCTGCCGACCGCCCAGTCTGGGGTCGCACAAGGGGACCACACTGTCACCATTGCAGCTACCGCAGCTAGTTGGACCCTGCCTGGGCCTGGCGGGGCAGGGATGTCACAGCTCCTGCTCCTGGGGGGAGGGGGTTCGTCTCCTCTTGGCATCAAGAAGGAAAAGCTCCCTACCCCAGAACTTGGAGCTCCATTAGACGAATGCCTCCTTTTAATGTTGGAGCAGCACCCCGAAATGTCATGAAAAACCGTTTGTTTACTAGACAAGGAACTACTCACAGCCTCCGGTTGCCAGGAAACCTGTAGCTTGTTTTTATTTTCAAGAATAATCAGCCACCTGCCTCAGGGAACAAGTGGAGTCTTCTCCCTTCCCTGGGAGTTCTGATCTCTCTGGGGGGTTAACTTCAAACAGCCCCCACCCTGCCGCATGTCTTTATAAGCTGCTCAGATCCCTGGGTGGCCTGGTGTGGATTTCCCTTTGCAGATGAAATTGACAAGCTGTCCATCAGCCAGTGTTGAGTGGACTTCCCTTAGGAACCGAGCACTTCCTGGAGACCACTGAGAACACAAAGGAACCAAAGACCTGCCCGGGACCCCACAGCCCCATGGGACAGGCTGGGAGTGCCGGACTACAGAGAATGAATGAACGGGAGCCCCGGGGACCCCAAGAATGGAAGGTCAGCGCTTCCTCTTCCTCTGTGGGGTTGTTAATGGCCTTCCGGACATAGGCTAGGAGGCTCAGGGGTGGAATTGTTTACAGGGGTGCTTTGCTCTGCACAGGGTTTTGGCAAAGCCCTAACGTTTCTACTGTGGACATAGATCTACCTGTATCCTGATCTGTGTGATGAGGAAGTCGCAGCCCTTCCCTCCCGGAAGTCCCGCCCTCACGCCTGCAGCTCACCCCAACAGTTCGCTGCATGCTGTCCTACACCCTACTCGCGCATCTCCGGACCATCCCCCTGGCTTTCGCAGGGATACCATTCTTGATGGGTCACCCGTCACCCCAGGGTATCAAACTGTAGAGACATCTTTGGGTCCTGTTGTCCAGCTCCTGCAGCTGTCCTTGGGTCAGCCTCTTCTCCCAGCTTCTAGAACACTCTCCTGGCTTCTCTCTTTCTCCCCCTTCCGCGGTCCCCCTTCTCTGGGAGGGGTGCCCCAGAGCTCAGCGCTACACTGCCTTCTCTCTGTGGACTTCCTCCCTGGGGCCTGTCACCCAGACCAGACTTCAAACCTTGTACATTCTAGTGTTTCCCGAATGAACATTTTTGTCCTTGACCTCCATATTCCCGCACGACCTCTCCACGTGTGTGGTCGATCCCCCCGGAAGCTATGGGACCGGGATGGCCCTTCAGAATGGTCCCAAATCTGGGATTTGGTCAGGAAGGCTCACCTCTGTTCCCCAGGGCCTCAGCTGGGGTGGCTTTGAGGACAAGGAGACGCCGGGATGATCAGAAGGCTGGTAGTTAATGTCAGCCCGAAGAACCTCAGCTAGGACTCGCGGCCACCCACGAGTCCCCTCTCCGATGGGCTCCTTGACTCCCCTGAAGCCTGCAGGCAGGGTTTCAGTGGCAAACACCCCGAGAGAGTGACAGACACCTCCCAAGTGACAAGCATCGCTTCTACCGTCCTCTAATAGTTGAGGCAATCACCAAAAAGCTCACTCACGTTCAAGGGCAGGGGACAAAGCGTCCACCTCTTGCTAGGGAAGTGGCAAGACTGGGGAAAGAGCGAGATGAGGGATGTCACCGTGGCCACGTCATAGAGGCATCGCACACCCCCATATGCAAAACTCACTCACCCTCCTCCCACCCCAAAGTCTCATCCGTCTGCAGCATCATGCCCAGGGTCACAGACCAGGATCGCATCTCCTAAGTCAGGGTGGCTTCCTCTGTGTGGTTCCCCAGGTGTTAGCGCCTTGGATAA